TAGGCCAGGACTCTGTGACATCTTGGGCATTTTGAGACCACAGAATGACAGTGTGCACAGGCGCGACAGCAAGGATGCCTGTGGCCAAGGGGCAAGAGGCCGGTGGAATGGATTCTGCAAGATTTTTTTTATGATAATTTTTATTATCATTATTTAATTTGTTATAGGATACATGTGCTCACCAGAGAAATAGAGGGGAAATGAGAAAGCAAGCAGCTAAGTCTGGGCCTCGAACCATAGTCAGCCATATAGGAGTCCAGTGCCTTAACCACCATGCCACTTTCTGGCTCCTATTTTTGTTTGTTTTTCTTGAAGAGGTTTTTGCTATAAAGGCACATGCGCTAACCAGAAAGACAGAGAGAGACAAAGAGACAGAAAGCAAGGAAGCCCCCGCCGAGGAGATGGCCATGCTGCAATCCCTTCTCTTCCATTCTCCTCTCGGGATCTTGGACATGCACGCACACACGCCTGGTGTGAGTTTAAGCCACCAGGTCCAGGACTTAAACCACGGTAGACTACATGGGAGTCAAGCTACATAGCCATTATGCTAACTGCTAGTCCTGCCCACTTTATTCTATTTTATTTTGGAGAGGCTTTTGCTATAGGGCACATGTGCTTGCCAGAAAGACAAGAGAGACAGAAAATGAGAAATCACCCCCCAGGGGTGATGGCCATGCTGCAATTCCTTCTCCATTTTCCTCTCAGGATCTTGGGCACGCATGCACACACACCCTGCGTGAGTTTGAGACATGATCTGGGACTCAAACCACAGTCAACTACATGGGAGTTTAGTGACATAGCCGTTAAGCTAACTGCTGGTCATCCCTACTTTAAGAAATTTTGCCATAGGTCACGTGTGCTCATCAGAGCGACAGATAGACATAAAGTGAGAAATCACCCCCTAAGGGGATGGCCAGACCCCAATCCCTTCTTCTCCATTCTCCTCTCGGGATCTTGGTCATTCACATAGGCCTGGCGTGAGCTTCAAGCCACTGGTTCCAAGATTCAAACCCCCATCAGTCTAGCACCCTTAACCTTGTTTAGCAAGAATGTTCAGTGTCTTAACCCTCATGCCACCTGCCAGTCCCAAGCCAGTAATTGTTATGTATAAGTTGTTTGAAAAGTTAATAAAATACTTTTTAAAAAATTTAATTATTAAATTTGACCAGAGAGAGGAGAATGATAGTGAAAGAGAAAGCAAGCCCCTGGGTCTGGAACTTAAACCATAGTTGGCCGTGTGAAAGTCCAGTGCCTTAACCACCACATCACCTACTGGCCCTAATAATATATTTCTAAGAAATATGTTTGGAAGCTTTTCTTCTGAAGAAATGCAGATGTGTTTTTATTCACAACTGAATATAATGTACTAAGAGAGTACATTCAGCAGTTCATTGGAAGCATCCACAATTTGACTATTGAAGAAGGTGATTATTTTTACAGGGAAGATTCAGGGAGAGCAGTCACTACACAATGCAATAAGGAAAAAAATCCCCAGATAGTTCTTTTTGACTGTACTATCATACCTGTTATCCAGGAATATAGTCAAGTAACAGAACAATAATTATGAATTAGACTATAAGAATACAGTCTAAAGTGGGAAGACAGAAGTACCATAGAACATTCCCAACCATGAGAGTCTTAATTAGTTGCTTGGTGCATGCACAAGAGCTGGAAGGAAAAATCTAATCTGTGGAGACTTGTGGAGTGTATGGAAGCATCTGTGGAAAACTACACATCTCAGAATATGGAAGTCAACAAGTTGACTTTTTTGAGGATATTCCTGATTGGCTGAGAAAAGAATCATGAAAACAGGTGGGAAGCGGGTGTGTGCAAAGGGCCTATGAAACTTGGTATCTCCTGTTAGTTCCAATACCTGCCTTCTCATGCAAATTAGACTATTAGTGAATTCAAATATAGAATGATAAAGGAAATAGATTTATAATATTTAGCCCACAATATTACCTATGTTGTCATAACAAAAACAGAAAGGCCACAAACTAGATTTTTAATTTTTTTATTATAGATGTCTTTTTAAAAATTTTTTAGATTATTATCATTCTTCTTCAATTTTAACCAGAGAAAGACAGAGAAAGGACGAGTGAGAAAGCAAGCCACCGGTCCAGGACTTGAACCATGGTCTGCCTTGTGGGTGTCCAGCACCTCAACCACCATGCCACCTGCCAGCCCTCATTGATGTCTTTTAATTCAATGCCTGTTATCCAAATAGCCACAAGGAATGAGAAACAGGACAAAAGGTGAAAATAATTCACACGAGACTATACTCTTTGACAAACTCTGCATATTTACTACTCTATGCCAGCTAATAAGTAAAATAAGAGCAGTGTAGTGGTGCAGCTCTATGAAGCTGATCTACAAGACAAGAATCCTGAGTTTGTGTCCACAGATTTTCCTGAGTGTGCCAGGCAGGGGCATGCCCATGAAGCAGGCCTGACTGAAGCTACCAATAGAATTTGGCATCAGGACCTTCTCTTACTTATGGAATAATATTAGAGCAACAAAAGGAAGGAGCCAGCAGGTAGTATGGCAGTTAAAGGCACCGGATTTCCATATGACCGACTGTGGTTTGAGTCTTAGACCTGATGGCTTGCTTTTTCCCTTTCTCTCTGTCTGTCTCTGGCAAAATTTAAAAAAATAAAATAAAAACAATAACAAATGGAATTAAATAATTATTTTAAAGAAAATATTTAAAAGAATAATATATATATATATATTATTTATTTATTAAGAGAGGTTTTTGCCATAGTGGGTGTGTGCAGAGGCAGAAAGCAAGAAAGCAAGAAATCACCCCTCATGGGATGGCCATGCTCCAATCCTCATCTCCTCTTGTCGCCTTTCAGGATTTTGCACATGCACACACACATGCCCAGCCTGAGTTTGAAGCTGCTGGGTCCAGGGCTCAAACTGTGGTCAACTATGTAATCATTATGCCATCTCCTCGTCCTTAATTTTATTAATTAAAAATATTTGCTATAGGGGGCTGGCAGGTGGTGTGGTGGTAAAAAGCACTGGACTCCCACGTGGCGGACCACAGTTCAAGTCTTGGATCTGGTCGCTTGACTTCTCACTTTCCTTCTCTCTCTTGCCATCTAATCAAACTGGAAAAGAATAATAATAAAGTTAAAAAAAGTTTTTGCTATAGAGCATGTGCACGCATCAGGGAGAGACAAAGTGAGAAACCAAGCTCCCTGGTCTGGGATTTGAACCATGGTCATCCATATGCCTTCACCACCATACCACCTGCTGGCCCCAAAAATGTCTTAAACAAGTAAAATGCAATAGGGCTATTATGGCTAAAAAGAAAATTTACCATTTTTCTGTGGTTTCATCCAGAAAACAACAGAAAAAAATATATAAGAAGATAGAAACCTAATTGTGTAGTATAAACCTACTTCAACTCCTCCATTGATCCATACTTCAAAAATAGAGAAAGTTATATTAACTTACATAATGACAAACCACTACCTGTTGAACTTTTGGACTATTGTTTATAGAGTACTTACAGAATTTTCTCACTTCGTATTTCTTTGCAAAAGTAAGGAGAAATCCATAGTCTAGAGAAGCAGTTTAAGAATGAGCCATTGACAGAAATGTATTTTTGGCTTTTCTAAGATTTGCTTCAGGTTATGAATTTTCAAGAGCACTCTGCATGAATTACCTGTCTGTATTACTTTCCATATTACTTACATTTATAGTATTTCTCTACAGTGGGAATTTTTACAACTTTGGAAATATGCGTTGAAATTTCTCAGGTGCATGTGGTTTCTATCTAGTGTGCATTCTTACATGTTTCTGTAAGGATGTGGACAAACGGAAGGCTTTTCCACACTGCTTACACTTAAGAGGTTTCTCTCTGCTGTGAGTTCTTTCATGTCTCTGGAAGGAACTGTGAAGACTGAAGACTTTCCCACATTCATTACATTTATAGGGTTTCTCTCCAGTATGTGTCCTCATGTGTCCTTGAAAGCTTGTGGGATAAATGAAGGCTTTCCCACATAACTTACATTCATAGGGTTTCTCTCCGGTATGAGTTCTTTCATGGATCTGAACATAACTAGAACAACTGAAGGCCTTTCCACATTGTTTACATTCATAGGGTTTCTCTCCAGTGTGAGTTCTTTCATGTGTTCGAAAGGCACTGGGAAAAATGAATGCCTTCCCACATATCCTACACTTATAAGGTCCATCACCAGTGTGTGTGATCATGTGTCTTCGAAAGTTTTCGAGAGAAATGAAGGCTTTCGAACATTCCTTACATTCGTAAGGCTTTTCTCCAGTGTGATTTCTTTCATGTATCTGCAAATCTAAGGGATAATTGAAGGTCTTCCCACACTTTTTACATTCATAAGGTTTTTCTCCAGTGTGCGTGCGTTCATGTATTCGAAAGTAGCTGTTACGGCTGAAAGCTTTCCCACATTCTTTACATTTATAGGGTTTCTCTCCAGTGTGCACTCTCAAGTGTACCCGGAAGGCTGCACGAGCACTGAAGGCTCTCCCACATTCCTTACATTTGTAGGGTTTTTCTCCAGTATGAATTCTTTCATGAATTTGCACGGAAGTAGAACATCGGAAGGCTTTTCCACATTGTTTACATGTATAGGGTTTCTCTCCAGTGTGAATTCTTTCATGTACTCGTAAAAAACTGGGAAAAATGAACGCTTTCCCACATTCCTTACATTTATAAGGTCTATCCCCACTGTGCGTTACCATGTGTGTCTGAACACTGGTGTGGGAAATGAAGGCTTTTCCACATTCCTTACATTTATAGGGTTTTTCTCCAGTGTGAGTTCTTTCATGGATTCTTATAGAACTGGGACAACTAAAGGCTTTCCCACATTTTTTGCATTGATAGGGCTTTTCTCCAGTGTGGATCCTTTCGTGAATTCGAAGAGAACTGGGACAACTGAGAGCTTTGCCACACTGCTTACATTTATAGGGTTTCTCCTCAATGTGAGTCCGTTCATGTGTTTGAAAGGGTTGATGATACATGAAGGTTTTTCCACACTGCTTACACTTATAGGGTTTTTCTCCAGTGTGAGTCCTTGCATGTCTTTCAAAAGGTTTGAGATAACTGAAGACTTTGCCACATTCCTTGCAGTTATATGGCTTCTCATACAGTGTGTGTCCTGTGTGAGATCTGTTGTGCCTGTTAAGGGATGAGTAACACATGAAGCCTTTTCCACAGATATTGCATTCATATGGTTTTACTCCTGTAGCATTCTTGGTCACACTGAGGGTTGGAATCTGGCTGAAATTTTCTCCACGTTGATTATCTTCTTCACTTTTACAGACTGTCTCTAGCATATGGCTTCTGTAAAAAAAAAAAAAAAAAATCAGGAGCACGTTAATGATGGTTTATTATTTTGTATTCATCACCACCTATTTCAATTACATTTTGTCATTTTGGGGCAAACTAGATTTTCTGCTCTGTCTGAATTGTTTGAAAATGAATATACTTGATGTTCTACCAGAGGGTTCATCCATAGCTATTACCAAAACAGTGATATTCATCTATGATGCTTTTTTTCTTTCTCTTAAAGAATTATTTTACTTTATTTATTTTGACCAGATAGAGAAAGAGAAAGTGAGAAAGCAAGCCTCCAGGTCCAGGACTTGAACCACAGTCAGCCATATGGGCGTCCCATGCCTTAACCACCATACCACCTGCTGGCCCCTCATCTATGATGCTTCTTAATATTGTTTCCAAGAAAAATATTTTTCAAACACTGAACATGTGTGTTGTTTAAGAAAATATTTTTTGGTGAAAATTTTGTAAGACTAAATTGGAAGGCAGGCTTATTTTGTGTCCTTATTTGTTCTTTAAATTTCATGATTTGGGGCCAGCAGGTAGCTCAGTGATTAAGGGCACTGGTTTCCCACATGGCTGACCATGATTAAAGTCCCAGACCTAGCAGCTTGCTTTCTCACTATCACACCACCCCACTCTCACTCTCTTTCACTCTGTCCCTTTCTGATCAAATTAAAATAAATAAATAGTTATATAAAAATAATTCCTTTTTTATTTTAAAGAATTATTTTATTGGGAACCAGCAGTTAGCGTAATGGCTATGTCGCTGGACTCCCACGTAGTCGACCGCGGTTCGTGTCCCGGACCCGGTGGCTTAAAACTCACGCTGGGCGCGTGTGCGTGCGTGCCCAAGATCCCGAGAGGAGAATGGAGGAGAAGGGATTGCGGCGTGACCATCCCCCCTGGGGGGTGATTTCTCGCTTGCTGTCTCTATGTCTCTCTCTGTCTGTCTGGCGAGCGCACGCGCCCTACAGTGAAAATCTCTCCAAAAAAAAAAAAAATAGAATTATTTTATTTACCTTTATTTATTATTATTATTTTTTAGTTTGATCAGAGAGAGACAGAGAGGAAGTAAGAAAGCTAGCCACCAAGTCTGAGACTTGAACCGTGGTCAGCCAATAATAAAAATAATTCTTTAAAAAAATTTTTAACATTTCATGATTCTTTTTTTTTATTTATAATTGGTATGTGTGAAGACAGAGAGAGAGAAAGATTAGCATTCTCCACAGGATCTGGTCACAATGCAATCCCCTTTCTCCAGTCCTCCAGCCTGTCGGATCTTGGGTACAAGTGCTCACACCACTGTGTCTCAGGCTGACCAGGCTGGGGATTTAAGCTGCGGTCACCATATGGGATCCGGCATTTCCTAAGTATCACATTTTCTCTGTGCCATGGAGCCAGCCCTCTAATACTCCTTAGAAGGATGCTACTTTGTCTTGTGATTCCAACTAACCTTAGATATCTCCTCTGGTACTGGTCTTCATTGTTGTGGTCTTCCCATTTTTTCCCTAAAATGTAGATATCAGAAATATTATAAATTACTGGAAGTACAAAAATTATTACATTGTAGGTATACAATTAATGGTGGGGACCAGCAGTTAGCATAATGGCTATGTCGCTGGACTCCCATGTCGTTGACCACGGTTTGAGTCCCAGACACAGTGGCTTAAACTCACGGCGGGCGCATGTGTTTAAGATCCTGAGATCCCATGCCCAAGATCCCAAGAGAAGAATGGAGAAGAAGGGATTGCAGCATGGCCATCATCCCCTGGAGGGTGATTTCTCGTTTTCTGTCTCTCTCTGTCTCCCTGGTGAGCACACACATCTTATAGCAAAAATCTCTCCAGAGAAAACCTGGAAACAATGAATGTTGACCATGCTTCTTTATCAGTGTATTCCCTTCTCACATTTCAAATATTAGAATACTGATTTTGAGGGACCAGCAGACGGTATAATGGTTACGTCACTGGACTCTCGTGTAGTCGACAGCAGTTTGAGTCCTAGACCTAGTGGCTTAAGACTTCATGCCAGGCATGTGGGCATGCATGCCCAAAATCTCGAGGAATAGGGATTGCCACATGGCCATCTCCCCTAGGGGTGTTTTATCACTTTCCATCTGTCTCTGGTGAGCACATGCACCCTCTAGCAAAAACATGTCTTAAAAAAAAATGAATACTGACTTTGAGCAAGAACTATTCTTTAATTGACTAAGTGAAGGAATGATGTCATCCGTACCTACAGAAGCGAGGTTCCTGATAGTTTCCCGCATCACATCCCTGTAGAGTTTCTTCTGTGAAGGAGCCAGCAGAGCCCATTCTTCTTGGGTGAAGTTTACAGTCACATCCTCAAACACCACCGAATCCTTAAACATCCCACATATATAGACACAGGAAGATGGCTTAGACTGATAGGGCAGGGGAATGGATAGTCAATCATAAGATGTATACACATATTTTATGGTTTCCAAACAATTACTGTATGATCAGTCCTCTCATTAAGGCAGTTAACCAAGAGTTTCGATCAGAGATGATTAGGCATCCCCCTTACATTCCTGATTTGGTTCCTTTTGACTTTGTGTTGCCTAATCTTTAAAAAATTATTCATCTATTTATTATTGGTATTATTTTAATGTTTTTCTGTAGGGCACATGTACTCACCAGAGAGAGAGAAGGAAAGTGAAAAATCATGCCACTAGGTCCAAGACTCATGCTACAGTCAGCCATGTGGGAGTCTAGCAGCTTAACCCATGCCACCTGCTGGCCCCAGTGTTCCCTAATGTTTTTTTTTTTTTTTAAAGAAGTATTTTATTTAACTTTACTTATTTGTCTTTATTTGACCAGAGAGGGACAGAGTGAGAGAGAGAGAGGAAAATTGAGAAAGCAAGCCACCAGGTCTGGGACTTGAACTGTGGTCAGCTGTGTGGGAATCTTGCACCCTAATCACCATGCCACCTCCTGGCCCCGTACCCTAATCTTAAAAAAGTTCAATGAAAGGGACCAGCAGTTGGTATAATGACTGTGTCACTGGACTCCCATGTGGTTGACCATGGTTCGAGTCCCAGACCTGGTAGCTTAAACTCATGCCGGGTGTGTGTGTGTGTGTGTGTGTGTGTGTCCAAGATACCAAGAGGAGAATGGAGGAGAAGGGGTTGCGGCATGGCCATCCCCCCTAGGAGTGATTTCCAGCACCTCTTCATTAGGGATGGACTCAATAGCTGGACTCCTAGCTTTAAAAAGTCTTTAAATTGATGCAGCTATGTTGAAAAGTTTATTTTTTTAATGTCAAATTCAATTTTTTCACAAATGTTTTAAAGTCCCCTTGGCCTGTGGAAGTTTAACAAGTTTATCTGATCACTTTGTCCTGGGGTAACTGAGGACTTGGATTTGGGACCGGCAGATGGTATAATGGTTAGGTCACTGGACTCCCACATGGCTGACTGCAGTTTGAGTACTGGACTCAGAGGCCTGAAACTCACACCAGGAAAATGTCTGTGCATGGTCAAAATCCTGAGAAGAGAATGGAGAAGGGACTGCAACATGACCATCCTCCTTGGAGGGTGATTTCTCACTTTCTGTCTCTCCGTCTCTCAGGTGAGTGTACATGCCCTCTAGCAAAAAATTCTAAAAAAAAAAAAAAAAAAAACTCAGATTCAAGTGAGTCCAGACTCAGTGGCTTGAAACTCATGCCAGGTGCATGTGTTTGCATGCCCAAAACCCCAAAAGGAGAATGGAGGAGTAAGGAATTGTGCAAGGCTATCTCCCCCCCAGGGGGGGTGTGATTTCTCACTTCTGTCTCTCTCGTAAGTGCACGTACCCTATGGCAAAATCTTTCAAAATAAAAATTATGAGGTCATCAGAAAAGTCATGACTTGAGGAACAGGCTAAGGGTTTCAGTGGTATCTACCATGGTTTGATGGTGAATGTGGCCATAGTTGTAAAATATTGTACATAAAGGATTTAGCGGTGCTTTCTTCCAAAAACACAATTTCCTTTCTTCCGTTTTAGGAGGAAGTGATTCCCAAACAGCTACATTAGGGACTGTTCTCTCATTTCCATGAACTTATAGACATCATATATGGAAAAATGGGCCATCACCTTGGTAACAGAATACTCAAAGAAAAAGTCAGGCATGGGGCTGGCAGGTGGTATGGTGCTTAGAACTCTGGACTCCCACATGACCAGCCATAGTCATAGTTCTTGTCTGGACGTGGAGCCTTGCTTTCTCACTTTTCCTCTTTCTATTATGTAACAGTCATTCTTTTTAATTAAATTTCAGGCCCAGTATATTCAGAATGACCTAAAATCAGAACCTGGGCTTCTCTTTTGGCTTCCACATCGTGTCCATATGCTAATGTCCAAGGGATCCCAGCTAGGCCCTTTAAAAAAAATTAATGATGTATTAATTTGTTTTTAAATCTGACCAGAGTGTGTGTTGCGGGGGGACTTAGAAAGCAAGCAGCCAGGTCAGGGATTTGAACTGTGGTTGACTATGTAGGAGTTCAGCGCATCAACCACACGATTTGCCAGCCCCCAGCTAAGCCTTTTTAAAAATTTAATTTTAGGGACCAGCAGGTGGCATAGTGGTTAAGGTGCTGGGCTCTCACATAGCCAACCATGGTTAGATTCTTGGACCTGGCAACCTGAAAATCATGCCAGGCACGTGTGTGTACATCCTGAAAGAAGGAATTGTGGCATGGCCAGCCCGTTTGGGGGGTGATTTCTCACTTGCCCTCTCTGGCAAATGTACATGTCTTATGGGAAAAACCCTAAAATAAATAAATAAATAGAATTTAAATGTATGTATGTATTTATTTTTTGAGAGGTTTTTGCTATAGGCTGCATGCGCTCGCCAGAAAGAGAGAGAGAGACACAGTGAGAAATCACCCTCCAGGGGGGATGGCCACACCTCAATTCCTTCTCCTTTCTCCTCTCGGGGTCTTGGGCACGCATGCACATGCACCTGGTGTCAGTTTAAGCCACCGGGTCCGGGACTTGAATCATGGTCAACTACATGGGAGTCCAGCAACATAGCCATTACATCAATGCTGGTCCCTAAATGTATTTAACTTCTCTACAAAAATTTCTTGCAAACAAGAAATTTGCAAGGTACCTGTTTTGCCCAGCTTCCCTGGGCAGCACAGACACCCTGGGTCACTGGTACTCTGTCTGTGTCACTTTATTTCTGTTTCCTCTTCTTAGATTCAAGCTAAGTTAGCCAACACCTTGTCTTCTCTAACAAAAAACAAGTATCTATTGCTTCCAGAAAATGAAAATGTCAATTAATCTTTCCCATAGCAAGAAATTATTGCTACAGGGGGCCAGCAGGTGGTGTGGTGGTTAAAGGTGCTGGAATCACACATGGCTGACTGCTGTTGGAATCCTGGACTGGTGGCTTGTTTTCTCATTTTCTTTCTGTCTTTTCTCTGATCAAATTTAAAAAACAACAGAATAAAGTTGAATAAAATAATTCTTTATTTACTTTAAAAATTTGCTCAGAGAGGGAGAGAAAAGGAAAGTGCCTTTAACCACCACACGACCTGCAGGCCCCTGAATAAAATAATTATTAAAAAAAATAAATAATTGCTATGGACCAGCAAGTAGCATACTAGTTAAGGCACTGGACTCCTCTCACATGGTCAACACAGTTCAAGTCCTGGACCTGGTGCCCAAAATTCCAAAAGAATTATTTTATTTTTAATTTAACCAGAGAGGGACAGCACAAGAGAAAGAGAGGGAAAGTGAGAATGAGAGGGAGAGCTGCCAGGTCTGGGACTCAAACCATGGTTGACCATGTGGGAGTCCAGCACCCCTAATCACCATGCCACCTGCCCACACCTTATGCTTATTAAAATGAGACTCAAGTAAGCAAACAGATCTTTTCAAGCTGACAAAATCAAGTGAGAGGCAGTGCTGACCTGGAACTATGCTGATAGGACATGTCACCAGGAAAGTCTCTAAAGAAGTACCTCAACCTAAATCAGTTTCCCTAGGCCGTCCATGCTCCAAAATGACAGGAAAGAAGTTGCCAACATTTTTGCAATGCAGCTTCAGGTGATTATCCCCCCTCCCATGTAAAATGTAAAATAATCCACAAACTAATCAAGAACTGCAGATGATGTAATGGTCATGTTCCTGGACTCCCACAGTTGCCAGCAGTTTGAGTCCCAGACCAGGCGGTTTAAAACTCATGCCACGGGCATGTGCGTGAGTACCTGCCCAAGATCCTGAGAGGAGCATGGGAGACAAGGGACTGTGATGTGGCCATCCCACCTGGGGGATGATTTCTTGCTTTCTGTTTCTCTGTGTTTACAGGGAGTGCACGTACCCCATAGTGGAAAAACTTTCTTTAAAAAAAAAATGCCATCCCTTTCCGTGGAAGAATAGCTAAAGTACTGTGTGTTTGAAATACAACAAGGAAGCAGGGGCAGCAGGTTGCATGGTGGTTAGGGGTGCTGGACTCCCACATGGCTGGCTGTGGTTCAAGTACCGGACCTGGCAGCTTCCTTGCGCGCTCTCTCTCTCTCTCTCTCTCTCTCTCTGTGTGTGTGTGTGTGTGTGTGTGTGTG